GGTTCCTGAGGGGATAATGGAGAAGAGTGTATAAGGGTTAGGCACCACAGGATGGAGGGGACCATTGCAATGAGTCAGAGGTTTTGAACCAAGTGGTAGGTCCTGTTAGTTTTCTTAACTGAAAGTATAGGGATGTTAAAAGGAAAAGATATAGGACAAAATAGTTTTTTTCCTTAGAAGGTCAGAGATGATATATTTAAGTCCCCTAAGGCTCTGGAGTGAGGGTGGGTACTGGGCTTGGGTAATATATTGGGTAGGGTCCTGTAATTACACAACAATGGGTGAATGGTGTCTAGCAATGGAAGGGTTTTAGGTGTCCCAGACTTGGGGGTCCACTTGGGAGGCTGGCAAAGGGATGGACATGTTGGAACCGGTAGGGTGGGTGGCTAGGAGGAGGAGTAGAGGAGCTGCTGGTATGTTTGTTGTGGGAGGCCAGCTCCTACCTTTTGAATGGTTCTTATGAGAGAGGGATAAGAAATATTAGGTAGAAAGTGAGACCTAGCTGACAAGAAGAAAGACAGAAACACAGGATAGTTTTAGGAGGTCCTGAATCAATACCCAATGACCTCAAAGTTTATTCAAGGTTTTTTTTTTTTTTTTATAATATGTCAAGGGGAGAGGCAAAAGACCTCCACCTCACAAGATCAAAGCATACTGTACAGGCAAATGTAGACTCTTCCAAACACCTGGTAACCACACCTGTGGTCAAATCATTCCCTTATGCAGCCCTACTGGGTAAAGTAAGCTCAGATTCTCAGACCTTGAGGAAGTTCTTACTAGGAAACCTCTGTGGTTCTTCACAGCTCCCCCTTCTTAATATTTTAAAAGGCCTCTCAGACCCCTTAGATGGACTGTGCCTGTCTTAGGTCACTTTCTTCTTCACTCATCAGTTTTACCTATCTTTGAGATATACTTTCCATCAAGTGTACTCTGTCTTAGGTTGACAGCTAGCAAGGACTTACCTGTCTCTGACTACCAGCCTCTGTCAGGGGAAGATACAGAGCTGAACTCTACGCAGTTCTGAATCAGGTCCCCACTAAGCTTGCAAGTAACTGGAACAACCACAGCAATCCCTATGGCTGCCACACACCCCCAGTAAAGGAGTAGAGGATGACCAAATAAAGGAGTAGATGGAATGTCCTTTTTGAATGGGCCTAAGATGTCTATAACAGCCTTAGCTGTACCAAGCCCTTTTTAAATCAACAGACTCTTGATGCAACTGCATCAAATCAAAAGACTCCCTTAGCATTGCCAAACCATGGTTCATCAATATCAACAGGTTACCATAATTCTAGCATGAATATTACTATACACAATTACAATTCTTACAAACTTACATCCAAAAGTAAACTCTCATTAGGACTACACAAACTTTAGCAAACATCCAAAAGTGATCTCTTAACAGAACTATTTACATTTTCTTCTAACAAGACAGAGAGTACATGAGTTGTGAGTCATCACAGTTAACAAAGCATACATGCATACACAAAACAATTCATAAGTCATCACAGTTGATAGAGTATATAGGTGAAATCAAAATTGTCCCATTTCTGAGGTTTGCAAAAGTTCAAAAACTCAGTTGTAATACCAGTCCCAAAGTTCAACTGACAGTCCAAGATCAGGGCCTGGCTTGTCAGCCATCCTGAAGTCTTTGTATAACAGTCCAAGTCATAATAACTCTTAGGCAGACAGTTTCAAATATGAGGAGTCCCATTGCCAAAATTTGTTGCAGCTCCCCTGAATGCAACAACTCAAATCAGTTTAAACAAATGTCTCTGAAGCCTCACTCTCAGTCACAGAGACACTTTCAGTTAGCTTTCCCCTAGGTGAAAACTGCTCCAGGGCAAAAGCTGCTAGCTGGTTGGGGAAGATCTTTTCGTACAGCCAGCCTGAACTGCCAGCAAACAAACTGCACAGCTTTTGCTGCTGGCGTTCACAGCTTTCACAGTCCCAGTCCATATGTGCTCCCATAACAGGCACATCCACCAAGGACCCTGTGTCCTGAGGCTAGAGGGTTTTCAATCACTTCATGCCACACAGGCTCCAGGTTCCTCCAGCTGCTATGAGCTGCAGCTTTCAGCAACCCTGGCTCTGAGAGGAAACCCAGCTGCTATGAGCTATGGCTTCCTCGGGTCCCATTACCTGCTCCTCCAGCAGCCTTGTGATCAGCACCCTAGGTCCTGGAAACCTCCATGTGCTTCCCTGCTTGCACGTCCAAATGCTGCTCCCAGGGTAGCCACATGGCTCTGCCTCATTCTGTCACTGGGAGCTCGGGCTGCTTTAGGTTCCAGCGTCTCTGCCTGGAGTATGGTTCTGTGTCACCTCAGCATTTCTTGCTGCTGTTCCATGAAGGGGCATGTCTCAGCTGCCCATCGAGCTGCTGCCTCTTCTGTGGCATCTCTGCTGGGCACTCACCACAGGGTGCACTCTCTCTGCCGCACTCCAAGCCACCTCTGCCACTGCCTACCATTCCCCTCTCTCATGGCACAGCATCTCTACCTGGCTCCTCACTGTGGCTTCTTCTCAGCAGAAAGCTTGCAGACTATTGCTCCTCGAGCTGTCTCTGCTCACACTGCTGATGCTGTTTCTCTGCCTGGGGCAGCAGTCTGGTCTCCACAGGGCTTTTGGTGTTTGCTGTTGTTGGCGGCTTCTGGATCCCCTGAAGCTGCTCAGACTGCTAAGTTCGCAGTGGCTGCTAGGTCCTGGACATTGCTTTCTGTGTCCCAAGTTCCACTGATACTTGGGTAAAAAATTATTCTTGCCCTAAGTGACTGTCTTATTAAACCTTCACTGTATCCCTGGACCAGTAGATAGAAACAGAGAGAGAGAAACAGAGACATAGACATAGACAGAGATAGGAGCTCGCTGCAGCCTAACTGTTACTACTTACTTCAGCTTAACTTCAGCTGCTCTGCTTAATACACATACAGTTTCATTCCTGAAGAATAGAACACCACCACACAACCTTAATTCATAACTGGACATGTCCCCTGCTTCTGTGATGCTCCCTCTTTCTCTTATCATTTGTACCTAAGCCCCACGTTCTGGTGCCATCTGTGGGAGGTCAGCTCCCACCTTTTGAAGGGTTCTTATAAGAGAGGGATAAGAAAATATTAGATAGAAAGAGAGACCTATTTGACTAGAGAAGAAAGACAGAAGAAACACAGGATAGCTTCAGGAGGGCATTGATCACTACCCAACAGCCTCAAAGGTTTATCTATTTATCTATCTATCTATCTATCTATCTATCTATCTATCTATCTATCTATCTATCTAATCTATATCTCTCTATCTATTTACTTATTTATTTTGTTTTTTTGAGACAGGGTTTCTCTGTGAAACAGTCCTGGCTGTCCTGGAATTCACTCTAAAGACCAGGCTGGCCTCAAACTCACAGAGATCTACCTGCCTCTGCCTTCCAAGTGCTGGGATTAAAGACATGCACCACCATTGCCCAGCTTGAAAAGGCTTTTTATAACATGCCAAGGGGAGAGGCAAAAGACCTCCCCCTTGCTAGATCAAAGCACACCACACAGCCAAGTGTAGATCCTTCCAAACACCTGGTAACCACACCCATGGTCAAATCATCCCCTTGTGCAACCCTGCTGGGTAAAGCAAGCTCAGATTCTCAGACCCTGAGTAAGTTCTCACTAGGAAACCTCTGTGGGTCACCACAGTCTGGGGTCAGGCGAATGGGGAGAGCAAAAGAAATAGAAGCTCCCACTTTGGCTAAAAAAAATATCTCTTCCTATTAAGGGTACAAGGCAAGTTGGACCAATCAAAAATGAATGGGTAAGAGGGATACTCCTGAAAATGAAATTAAGTGGTGGGGTCTGATGAGGTAGGTTAGGCTGTCCCCCTACCCCAACAATAGGGAGATGAGAAGGAGAGGCGTGTCCCTAAAACTCCCTCAGGACTGAGTAAGTTGCCCCGATGTCCAAGAGGAAGGAGATGGGCCGCCCTAACACCATGACGACTACCCAGGGCTCCCTGTCAGAGGTGACAGTGGTTGGATCAAGAAAGCATGGGTCCCCTCAGTCACCCATGGCCATGCCTAGAGGGTTGGCTGGAGGGTGGTTTACATCTGATGTCCCCATGTCATGAGGTGTACAGGGGCCTTCAATGTCCCTCTTGATGGCACCTTGGACATGGCCCAGGTGGCCTGCAGGGATTAGGACAAGCCCAGGCCCAGTGACCTTCCTGATCACACTTGAAGCAGGGATCTGGTGGTCCTTGAACCCCAGAGGGCAAAGGAACCCAGGTAATCATCGAGGCCAGTTGGATGGCCTTGGCCAGCATTTGGTATTTTTGTTTATGGGCTTTCTCATCTCTCCCATGGTACACCTTAAAAGCCAGTGCTAAGACTTCTACCTGTGGGCTTAGGGACCCTCTCTATCCAGACACGTAAACTTGGTCCTAATGTCAGAGAAGCTCTGGGAAAAGAAATGGTTCATAAGGAATTGTCTACCCTGTGGGTTTTCAGAGTCTAGGTTAGTATACTGCAAGAGGGCCTTTGTGAGGCATTCTAGAAACTGAGATGGATTTTTCTGTCTGTCCTGAATGATTTTGTGGAGTTTTTCGTAGTTCACTGGTTTAAGGGCAGCCTTATAGAGACCTGCCAGGAAACAGGCTGTAAACAGGTCTCTAGCTAGAGCTCCCCCTAGGGTATTATAATTCCACTGGGGGGTCACAATCAGGGACTACCCTAGGTGGATGAGTTGCATTAGTTTGATGAATTTCATCGGCATGTACTCTAGCCTGTTCCCAAACCTGTCTGCATTCCTCAGGAAGTGGGCTGTTAGTTAGGATCATATATGTATATATATATATATGTATATATATATGTATATATATATATATATATATATATAATGAAAGGTGAAGCTATATGATTGGGTGATATATCAGAATTCTTTAATGAAAGAGGCAGAGTAAGACGTACAAGAACCTAGTCTCTTTTCTATTTGAGAGAGTTCTGCTAGTGAGAAGGGGACACGTACCTTAACCAGTCCATCCACTCCGGCGACCTCTCACAAAGGGAGAGCTGTGGCCAGGTTGGTCTGGGTAGGGTTGGGTCCCTTAGTGGCTCGAGAACACGTGACAGGAGGGAGCGAAAGCGGGCGCAAGAATCAGGCGGTTGAGGCGGCCCGGTACTGGAGAGGAGGAGGGGCTAAAGGAGCAGTTGTATGCTGGGGTCAGAAAGGTGGGGGTTCATTAGCAGGGTCCAGAGCATCAGTGAGGGGTTCCTCTAGTTCAGACTGCATAGCTGGGAGGACGTGAATGGGTGAACAGGAAGCACGGAGGGAGGTTTTGGAGCGGAAGTAAAAGAAAGCTTGAATGTAAGGCAACTCCTCCCATCCACCTGCATCCGCTGGCAGAAAGCTGGAAAGCGCCCCTCAAATATCAGGGTCTAAAGTGCCATTAAGTGGCCATTTGGACCAGTTATCCAAGGGGTATTTGAGGCCATTTTTGAGTGCAAAGGTGGATGAGTTTAGAAGCCTTTAAATAGGGCATTAAGCATAGAGGTTTGAGGTTTTCTGAAAGACATCCCAGAGGAGTTGTTGGGCTTATATTGCTGATAGGTTTATTCCCCAAGAGTGAGGCAGAAAAAAAAAAAAAAAACAAGATTGAACGGCTTAAGTGAGGATCGATTGAAGAGGCACAAGCCAGTCAGTGAGTCGTCACTCAAAAGAGCAGGGCTGAGGGTCTCTGAGTCTGAGGGACACAGGGGTCCAATAGACAAGAAAGGCATAATCTGCCCAGTGAGTCATCACATAGAGAGCAGGAGCCGAGGGGCTAAGCCCAAGCCGAGAGATGAGAAGTGAGGCCTCACTCACGAGGAATGGCCAGAGGGGATTGTCAGTGAGAGGGACCAGCCATAGCCCTGGAGGTTCCGCCGCTCCCAAGGACACCAGTGGGCACCGGATGTTCAGCAGTCGTTCCCACAGGTCCAGGGAAGCAGTGTTGACACTGACCAGGAGAGGGGAAACTCGCCAATCATAGCAGCTGGTGTTGTGTGAAGGGGCCTGGCAGCCGGGCAGTTGGAAAGTGGGCTGTCATAGATGAACCGGGTCCAGCAGGGTCCTGGTGTGCTCCGGAGTGCCGGGAGGGCCTGGTGAGTCTCGGCACCAACATCTTATTTAATGTCAGTGAGAACGGACCACAAAATACAACAAAACCCATATTAAGAGTTTATTGGTAGGGAGTGAAGAAGTGGGATGTGTGTGGTTGGGCCTACCTTGAAAGACACATGACGGGAGAGAGAACAAGGGACAGGCAGAGCTTGCTTTTAAGGGGGGTCTCAGCGCATGCGTACAAAGGCTTGCATAGCTACTCAATGCATGTGCATAGGTTATGTAGTGACATATGGCCATAAGACCCTGGGCTGACAATGCATGCGCAGCCATAGGACCCTGGGTACTGGCTAGACATTTTCCTGAAATGCTAACACCTGGGATGATGCAACCAAGAGAGATAATCCCTTTGACTACCCTGGACCCCCTCAAGGATGTTCCTTCAAGTTCCCTCAAGAAACTAAGGAAGCCAATCACCTATGACCGACACTATGACTAGACCCCCTCTGTGCCCAAGACTCTAGAAACAATAAAGACAGCTGAGAGTCACTCTCAGACAAGCCAAGCTGCAAAGACTCCAAGATGGAACCTGCTGCCTGGAAGTAGCAGACACGGGTCGAGCTACCTGCAAGGGGTTTAGACCAACCGCAACCCCAGGAAAGGACACTCCAACCTGGTGAGCTGCCTGCAGGCTGTGCAGTGTGCTCCAGGTTCCCAGCCTTTGTGAGATGTCACCCATGCTGGGGTGGCTTTGGTGATGCAGCTAGCTGTCTTTGAGTCATTTCTGCTCCTATAAGTAACCCCTCACCCGTATTTCTGTAAGTACCCTAATAAATAACCTCATTGGTTCACCATGTTGGACTGTGGTAATATTCACCCTTTGGTCTGTCATAGGCTGTGGTGATATATTGTACACCCTAATAAAGCTTGCCTTGAGGATCAGAGGACAGAGCCAGCCACTAGATTAGACATAAGGGCCAGACAGTGGTGGCACACACCCTTAATCCTATCACTTGGGAGGCAGAGATCCATTTGGATCTCTGTGAGTTCAAGGCCACACTGGAAACAGAGCCAGGCAGTGGTGGTGGTGCATACCTTTAATCCCAGGAAGGGACATGGCTGGCCAGAGAAAGATATATAAGGTGTGAGGAAACAGGAACTAAAGCAGTTCAGCTGAGACCCTTTGGTCTGAGGACTCAGAGGCTTTCAGTCTGAGGAAACAGGATCGGCTGAGGAGTTGGTGAGGTGAGGTTGGCTGTGGCTTGTTCTGCTTCTCTGATCTTTCAGCGTTGACCCCAATACCTGGCTCCAGGTTTGTTTGTTTGTTTTTAAGACCATCTAACATTCGAACAATAATGGGCTCCCAATCTGGGGTGAGTGTGTGTGTGTGTGTGTGTGTGTGTGTGTGTGTGTGTGTGTGTGTGTGTGTTGCATCTCCCCAGGAAAAGTCTGTCACAAAAGAGAGATCTAATGATCTAGCCCATCATTCAGACATTTTGTCCTTTTCTGGCTCTGTGCACAGGCATCCAAATCAAATGTGCTAGTTGATGACCAGTTCTCCAGATGGAGCATCCGGAGACCTGGTAATCGTGGGGGGCCAGAAAGGGTTTCTGGGACCTAAGCAAGGTAGAGCCTATGTGGCCTTGGCTAGCAGTCCTCTGGAGGCTTCACCCTTCCAGTGGTAATGTGCTCAGAGACTGGGGCTCCTCTGAGCACCATTTGGGTAGAATGGGAGGCATTTCTAAACCAGTTACCATTTGTGTTCCAGATTGCAGTACACCCTCCAAGAATGTGTTTTTCCTCTGCCTAATGTTAGTTTTTCTGACAAATAAAACCCTGGTGAGAGGCTGAGTGTACTAGCTAACAGTGGCTACACCACATAGAACAATGTAATTCTGACCCACAAACTCCATAGCAACCGGTCTGGGTAGCGAATTCCACCCTCTGCAGCACTCAGCCCAAGGGTCAGTACTTGGCAGTGACTGATGCTTTTCCCACTTTCCATCCGGGCCCCTCCTCCACTGGAAACCACAGAGAGAAAGCCAACCCTCCTGCAGTCATTTAAAATGTCCCCTCTTCCGATCGGCCTGCCTCCAGTTTTCCATGCCAACAGCCGCCAGCCAGGGCAGCCAGGGCACAATGGGAATCATCACTTTTCCTCTGCAAAGCTTCCCAGCTCCCTGCCTGCCCTGAGATCCTGCCAGCACCGGGTGGTGGCTGTGGCTGGCGCTCTGGCTAGAGCCTGGGGCCTCTGCCTCGTCTCACTTGAGTGCCCTGTTTATTCCCACACTAAGTCACCAGCCTCCTGCCCACTTACTGCTTCAGCTGCTTAAAGAGAAATGTCCCCAGCAGAGGGGGGTGACTTAACAATGAGTTAAGAGAGATGGTTCTATTGCCTTTAAAAGACACAGCAAAGGCACAGCCGAGGGACAGAAATGAACCCCCTCCCCCTCTTCCCCCAGTGTTTGACACTGTCTCTGCGTCACCCACACAGATGACATAAATGCAGGTATCCTGAGGACAAGGTTCCACGGCGAATGGAAAATTCAAGAAGTTCTACAGAGAGCCAGTCTTTGGGGATTCTCCGAAGTCCCTTGATGTCAATGCTGTTTTCCTGCTGATGGCTGAAGCCAATTCCCACCTCTCTCTCTCTCTCTCTCTCTCTCTCTCTCCCTCTCCCTCTCCCTCTCCCTCTCCCTCTCCCTCTCTCCCTCCCTTTCTCTCTCCACCTCTCTTTCTCTCTTTCCCTCCCTCCCTCTCTCCCACTCTCTTCCTTCCTTCCTTCTTTCCTTCCTTCCTTCCTTCCTTCCTTCCTTCCTTCCTTCCTTTCTTTCTTTCTTTCTTTCTTTCTCTCTCTCTCTCTCTCTCTCTCTCTTTCTTTCTTTCTTTCTTTCTTTCTTTCTTTCTTTCTTTCTTTCTTTCTTTCTTTCTTTCTTCCTCTTTCTTCCTTTCTCTCTTCTCTCTATCTCTCCTTCTCTCTCTCCCTCTCTCTCTTTCTTTTTCCCTCCTTCTCTCTTGCTCTGCCTCTTTCTCTTCCTCTTCCCCCCCTCTCTCTTTCTCTCTTCCCTTTTTTGGACACCTTTCTCCTGCACGGGATTCAAGATTTGCACCCTCAGATAGCTCTTTCCTCCCTCTAGAACCTCGATCAGCAGTAATTAAAAAAAGGTCTTCCAGCAAGTTGACACTTTTTGAAATGCTAATTGATTCGAATTGGAGCCATCAGGCAGTCTTTCACACCTACTCAGTCCCTGCCTCGGGCTTTTCTGCATATTTGAATCAGTAAGTTGGAATCCAAACCAAGCAAGTGAGAGTTATGCAAATCAATTACTCCCACACCCTCCACTGAGATCCATACCTGTGGGGTCCCAGAAAATCCCTTCCCCACCTGCTCAGGTTGACAGAGTTTTAACTCTTCTGGGGGAGATGCTCAGCCACTGTTGTTGTGATTTTATATGAGTATTTGCATAAACTAGCAGAAAAGCTTCCTCAAATCCTTTGCTCAGGCAATGGCATGGTTTGAAAAGAAACAGTACTACCCTTGAAGTGGACCACAGGAAAGAGCTTCTGAATTAGCTACAGAACCGATTTGCATCCACAGAGTAAGAAAGCCACGCCTACTGGACAGTGGTCATTTGTAGTTTGGGAACTCTAGACCCATGTCTAAAATTGCAGTAGTCCGCTGTAGCCAAGAGTAGCCATGTGTGTGCCAAGCAAGGTCAAGCTTTTCTGGAGTACAACCTGGCCCCTTGAGTGTTTCAAGCCAAGCTCCAGAATGGGTTTCAAGCAATTTTCTTCTGCTTTGGGGGAAATCAGTCACATTTATAAATGGCCCCAGGGCAGTTTCATGGCTCCCACCGATTGTCTTCACCCTTTCACACAGTTCCTCATGTTGTTGTGACCACAACCGTAAAATTATTTCATTGCTGCTTCACAACTGTAATATTGTTACCATTATGACTCATAATGTAAACACCTGTGTTTTCCAGTGGTCTTAGGTGACCCCTGT